ATTGTTTTTGAAAAGGTTTCGTTATTATTTTGTTTATAACGAAAAGTGCTATTAAATTGTATTTATCCTATTTTTTATAAGTGAATACTTCTATTTAATGTAAGATAATTATATTAGTTGTATGTGTTTATGTCAAGAATTAACTATAATCATGTGTTGGTTGTTACGTTTTATTCATATATAAATTGCGAATTGATGCATTGACTGTAAATTATTCTCACTTCGTGAGAATGTGATGTTATATTGGTTAATCTGGCTAACCAATTGACCAAACCGTTTAAAATTTAGTTTGGTTAGTTTGGTTTTTGTATTAGTTTGAACGGTTTGGTTATAATATTGTATTTCATGGTAACCATTTGAACACCTCTACAAGTAACTTCTACTTATGAGTCAGGGGAGCCTGTAGCCCGACAAGATGTTTCTGCAAATATATATGTTCATATTCTTTCATAATATTTTTTCCAATACTTCCTTTGAATTGATCGAGACTGATTGTCACAAGAACAGGTTCTTTAACCATAAAGTTTGTTTGCAATGAATATTTAGAAGATGAGTGGCTTAACAAAATTATTTAAAAGATGAGTGGCCTGAAATAGGGGTGGGCATGCGGTTCGGTTTTACCGAACCGAACCGAGCAAGAACCGACCGAAACTGAACTTTACCTTGTTAGGTTCGGCGTTCGGATGCGAATTGCCAACAATTCGGGAGCCAACTTCGTTTAAACCGAACCGAAAAAACCGAAAAACCGATCGAATTACCGAAATTAAAAGGCCCAACCCAATGATCCATTAACCCAACCCTGGAAAGACTTCAGCAGGCCAGGCCTACTACCCACCCAACCCAAGCCCAACCTCCTTACCCCAAACCCCTAAGTAAAGCCCAACTGATAGCCCACAGTTGGAGAAAACCCTAAGGATTGGTTCCACTTCCTTCCTTCACTTCTCTGAGTCTGAGAGACGAGAGACTGAAACCCGCCGACGCCCCGAACCTTCTCACTTCTCACTTCTCAGTCCCTCCGCCACCGCCAGCCTCCTCCACTCTCGAAGCAGCAGCCGCCGCACCGCAGGCCGCAGCCGCCAGCAAGCGCCCAGCAGCGGCGACGCTCGACGGCCTCTCCCCGACGGCGTTTCGCCGTTTCCCCGACGGCGCCCCAACCCAAGGCCTCTCCGGCTCTCCCTCCCCTAGACCCCGACCCTCAACAGTCGAATCGACCTCTCACCTCTCCCACTCCCAACCAAATCTGACTGACGAAATCGCGAGAAGGCAGAGGGAACGTCCGATTCCGACTTCCGAGTTCTGACGCCTCCTCCACAGCTCCACTGCCCGAGCCCCGAGCACGGCGACGTCAACACCCTTCAACCTCACTGCTCGTGCTCGATCCTGCTCGCCCCCCTCTCGCAATCCACCGGCTGCCGAGTCTCCACTGCCCGAGCCGCGAGCACGGCGACGTCAACACTGACCAATGAGCAGCCAGCTCATGTCAAATTTAAAAAAAAAAAAAAAACAGCAGGCAAAAAGGGGCAGCAGAGGTGTTTCGGTTTGAGCATCCGAACCGAGCCGAACTGAGTTGTAAATCGGTTCGGTCGAACCGAGCCGAATTACAGCTCGGTTCGAATTCGGTCGGGGCGATGGAAAGTTCGGAAATTCGAGATAACCTTGTTCGGTTCGGTTCAAACCGAACCGACCGAACGCCCACCCCTAGCCTGAAAAATGAGACTTAGAGAGGGAATACAATGAATCATATATTTGCAATTAATCTTTCCATCAGTAATTTTTTTGTTCAAACCGCCGTTGAAAAGTAGTCCTTGAAATTTGAATCCATTAAAGGAAAAATAAAAATGATATATATGTAGCTGCGTGGATGGGCTGAGGGTTAATTCCCAAAATATTATTTTTTTTATTTACCACAAATATGGTGGTTTTAAATTTATTTACATAGATATTGTGTTTTTTGGGGAAAGAGATGCAGGCTCGCAGGAGACTCAATTTTAATATTTTGAAATGCAGATTCAAATTGGATTTGTACGGACCCGCGTGGGACTGGTGCGGCTCGCGTGGGACTGCTGCGGAAACGCATGGACTCAGCGTACCCGCATTAATCTCATGCGGATTCGACCCACAGTGTTTTACCCACTCCAGCATATATTTTCTCCTCCATTCTCCTCCTTTCAGTATCACCACCCCAAAAACTTCTACAAAAACGAGAGGGAGGAGCTCTGCTGGTTGCTGCAAAAGATGGCTAGGTAAGAGACATTTATTTTTGTAATTATATTATTAAAATGCTATTATAATTTTTTTTAGTTAATAATTAGTACATTTGTTTGTTATGTAGTGATTTTAGGAAATTTGAACTAATTGTTTGGTGGAAATCGGAGAAAGTAGACGATAATTCTGGCGTTCATTTCGTTGGTGGTAGAAGGTTTCAGTTGACAGTTCCATGTCGGGTGACATATCATCAATTTTGTGAGAATCTAATCCCGAGAATACGGCGTAGAGACGAAGCAGTACAAGATAGTGATATGATCACAGGTTTCACTTACCGTCTTCCAGAATGGCATAATGGTGTTCTATTTCATTATGTGATGCCTATTGTGGATGATGATGGTTTGAATGTGCTTTTCGATTTTATGGCACAAAATCCTTATTGTTTGGGTGCTGAGGTACATGCTGAGATTAGTCAGGCTAATCAGGGTGACGATGATACATGGAGTGTGCCATCTGACCATGATTATGAGGACGACGACGACGAGGAGGAGGAGGAGGAGGAGGAAGAAGAGGAGGAAGATGGGGAAGAAGAGCGGCCTAACTTTCCTCCATATTTTTACTTGCAGGCTGCTGAAGAAGATGATGAATTATCATATGTTGATTCATATGGGGTAATTCCAATGCCTATCGTTACTGGTTTTGAAGGGGAATTCTACAAAGGCCAGATATTTCACTCGAAACAAGCTGCACAGGTGGCGGTTAAACACCACGCACTACAACGCAACTTTCAGTATGGCGTGGTGGAGTCGTCACCTTCAATCTGGAAGGTTAGATGCTTGAAGCATAAGGATGAAAATTGTCCTTGGATGGTGCGGTTTGGATGTCGAGACGTTGGAAGCGAATGGATTGTGAGGAAGGCCGAGTTGGTGCATTCTTGTAGCAATACGACTCAACCGACAGATCATCGCCATCTTGATGTCGACGTTATATCTGAGTCCGTGAAACATTTGGTACGTGCCCAACCTAATCTGAGTGTTCTAACTGTGCAAGCCGAGATGAAAGATAAATTTAATATGCAAGTTACTTATAAGAAGGCTTGGTATGGGAAACAAAGAGCATTGGAGAAGTTGCATGGAAATTGGAAGAATCCTATGATTATTTGCAAACATTCTTGCGGGTGGTAAAGAGAAAAATGGCAACATCAGTTATTGATTGGGTAAGAGTTCCTTCAGCTCAACCAGGTCATTCGATCTTTCAGCGAGTATTTTGGGCTTATGGACCTTGTATAGATGGATTCAAGAATTGCCCAGGAGTCATGGTTGTTGATGGAACCTTTCTTACTGGAAAGTATAAAGGAGTGCTACTCATGGCGAGCTCATTTGATGGCCGGAAGAAGATTTTTCCAATAGCATTTGCCATTGTGGAGAGCGAGAATACTGAAAGTTGGCCATGGTTTATAAATCGCGTTCAAGGTTTGACCGATCGAAATGACGTATGCATCATCTCAGATAGACATGTGGGACTCTATGAAGCCATGGGTGACATCGGAAGAGGTTGGGAGTGGAGGTGGTGCATGCAACACTATGCAAGCAACTTGAAAAAGAAGACAAAAAGCAAAATTATGTATAACCAATTGGTTCGAGCCGGTAAGTATCTTCATCGTTATTGATTGACACTCCAACATATTATTTATTTTAATTTAATATTATCATGAATTTATCTAACTCTTGTGGTTATTTATTTTGTTAGCCCGAGAAAAACGCTTGGAGAAGTTCGATCGTCAAGTTGAGCAATTTAAGAACATGGTCACTGAAAGAAATATTTCTTGTGATAACTGGGTGGATCAAAATCAAATTCGTTGGAGCTTAGCACATGATAACTATAATGGTGGGACTCGATGGTCTATGATGACGACCAACATGGCAGAGAGCATCAATGGTGTTTTCAAAGGTATTCGTTCACTTGATGGTGTATTCATCTTGTGCAACATACTTATTGGCGATTATCGGAGAAATTCGATAAGATGAGGTTGGAGACAGAAGCACAAATCAGAAGTGGACCTTCATAGTACACCATCAAGTGCGAAGAGAAGATGAATACATGGTCACAAAAGGCAGTGGGACATTCCGTGACGGGGGTTGATCGACGTCAGGGCATCTATGTAGTACAGACTTCTCCCAACAATTTCAACATGACGGGTTCGAACACACTCACAGTGCATTTCGATGAACCCAATCGAGCGGGATTTTGCACTTGTGGGAAATTCCAAGGAAATAAAATTCCTTGCTCTCATGCCATTGCAGCTTGCAACCGAATGGGGGCTAACCCGTATAGGTTTGTAAATGACATCTATAAGCTGGAAACAGTGTTGGCTTGTTATGGGACAAGTTTCACACCTCTTGGTGAACCTAAGGGGTGGAAGAAGCACAATGATTCTACTCTCCATCCTAACGTGAACATAATTAGGAAACCGGGGAGGCCACGAACAACGAGATGGATTGGCCAAGAGAGGAACTAGGTGGACATGATGCATCAACTTCTGGTGGAGGAGCAAGTGGCAGTGAGAGGCAACGAAGAGGAAGTGGTAGACGTGCGAGAGGTGGTAGAAGAGGAAGTAGTGGTAATAGACGTGGTATGTAATTGTTTGATGTTTGTTATTGTTTTTCGACGTATATGTAATGGGTTGATGTTGTTATGGTTTGAACGTGCGAGTGTGTAATTGTTTGATGTTTGTTATTGTTTTTCGACGTATATGTAATGGGTTGATGTCTACGACCACTCACGATCTGGTACGTCTATATGACGGCCTCACCGTCGATCGGTAAACCGCTCAGTGTGGCAACGTTCTCAAGAGTGATCGTAACCTCACCGACCGGCATGTGAAAGGTCGATGTCTCCAGACGCCAACGCTCTACTAGAGCGGTGATCAAAGATGCATCTATACAACCAGTCATAGGGACCAACTGCTGAATGCTAAACAAACTGGCATCCTGGAGATACGGCTCATAACGTGGATGGTACGTGACCAATTTGGTCGTACCGCGAGTCTGGTAAACACGATCACCAGCCTATAGTGCACAAAACTTATATTAATTCAATTTCATGGCTTAATTCTATTTTCAGAACATATTGTAAAATCTATCTAATTTACTAAAAATATATGTAATGAAAACTAATACTAATTTCACATGCAATTATAATATTTCAATTTACCTAGTAAAATCAATCTAATTTAGTAAAATATATCTAATCAAACTAATACTAATTTCACAAAATCTAAAACTAATAATAATTTCACAAAATTTCACATGCAATTTTAATATTTCAGTTGACCTAGTAAATCAATCTAATTTAGTAAAATATATCTAATCAAACTAATACTAATTTCACAAAATTCTAATCTAATTAGCTAATGAACTTTAATGAAATAAAATACATAAAATACTTACCTCGTTAATCCAAACTGAGTCGGCACGATGTTGACCATGTGCCCAAAGGAGTACTGAATCGACCGGAGCTGTATCTATCGTCGCAGGTGGTCGTCTCGTAGAATGCCTTTCAAGAATCCTAGGAACTGCAAAAAAAAAAAAATTAGAAGCAGAAAAGAAAAAACCCCCGGCAGCGACTTTCCGGTCGCCGGCGGCGACACTCCGGTGACCGGCGGCGACTTTCCTACCGATGCTCACCTCGGTACCGCCCGCGTGCTTGCTGTCGTCTTCCACGGCCTCTTCCTCCGGCGGCCGCCTGTTCTTCAGTCGGAGTCCGACATCAAAACCAAAAAAACAGATCTGGTTTTGTTCGGCGTCTCTACTCTGGTGCGCTTCCGCGTGACTCTCGACCGATTCCACGCTAGTAATAAGTAAATAAATAAACAGAGCCAATGTGTATAAATATAAAAGTATCATTCTGCAAACTAAGTACGGTATCTAAGGATGTCAAAACATAATCCAACTCGAAAAATTTGTTCGATTGACCCAATTTGAATTGGCTAAAAATGAATGTCTTGCAACCAGCCTGACCCGCAATCATACGAAGATGTAACCCGATTAACCCAAACTCGATCAGCCTCCAACCTGATTAAACTCGTAATCTATTGACCTAGACCCGACTAATGCGTGACCCGATCGAACCAACCGGAACTCGTCCAATTGATATGAATAATTACTATATTATATAGTATATTCTTCCATAATTAAGTTTTGTTGTTCTAAATGTAAGAATCTGAAATTTACTTGAAATAATTTTTTTTATAAAACTACAAAAATTAAACCCCAAACTCAATTGAACATTAAGTTGTTTAACAAAATTTGAAAATATGAAACATAAAGTTAGCAAAGTGACACTCAAAATATCTCAAATACAAGCTATGTTATAGAATATATTTAATTACTTATAAATTTGATTATCACAATATTTACTTATTATGTTATGGGAGGTTAGTATGCAGTGACTAAGCCATTTTTTATAGTAAACCTTTATCATAACCTTATAAGGCATGACTAATTGGATATAGTAGATTTAGGACTATATCATTAGTTATCATATCTCAATAACGTCACTATAACTATTTCAAATGCATGTTATTTTACATTATAGATCATATACTTAATTATTTATCAATTTAATTATCTCAATCTTTACAGATTATAGGTTAAGAGTTTAGCATTTAGTAACTATAACATTGTCTATAGCAAACCTCGTTATATCCTTATAGGGCATGGCTAATTGGCTATAATAGATTTGAGGAACTATAATGAGTCATCGTCATATCATAATGAATCGCTTATGTTATAGTACACATAACCTATCATTTGTCATATTAACTAATTTAACACCTTCTGATAAACAACGTACTTATCTAGCTATATGAACTAATTTGAATAATTTTGAGGATATGGAGTTTATGGTTCAGGTATGCGTACACTAACTTTACCGTATGCCCATCGAGATTGATCTTAGTGTATGAGATTCATATAATTAAGACCTACATTAAAAAATTTGAGTTAAGATATAATATCATGTCATAAACTTCGATTAGTATAATGTCTAAAAATATTATTTTTTTACTCAATATATGTTATACTTTTGATTTTACTCAAGGTATGATAGTTACTTATAACTCGAGTGTGCCGCATACCTTGAGTATGAAAACGCTATCTATACCTCGAATTGGCAAAATTTTTAGACATGATAATATACCCTACATCACATAATTAAGTTTGACCCTTTATTCAATAATCCATGAGTTTACAAGGGAGAGTGATATCAACCCCTGCTGCAATTGGGACTATTCTTCCATCTTCAACATCATCGCCATCGCTTACGGTGAAGGCTACCAGGTTTGCTAGCTAGATATAGTTAAGCCCTTTTTCTTAATTTCGAGACAATTCCGTACTTCTTCCCGTCAATAGCTAAAAGGCGTATGTCTACCAGTTGGCGTTACCGACGCTCTCATTCGATTCCTCGAACGCACCCAACCCAGCACCACCAACAACCCCGCCGCCCCCTCTAAATCGCAACGATCGGCACCGTACGAGCTCGAATTTGACCTCCCCTCCTGGCTCCTACCCGCAGCCATCCGTTCCTTTCGTCAAGAGATTGGAAAATCGCCACCGTCCCTCTTCGTCTGACCATGTACCCACGGGCGGAGCTGACGAAGAGATCGAGTTTCAGATCTGAGTTTCAAATCTGAGTTTTCAGATACCACAACAGTCGGATTAAGAGACAAAGACTACTCATGATTGGGGAAGTATGGGTTGCCGCTTCCATTTTTCCTTCTTCCTAGAATCTCGAGTTGCCGCCGCCGTCGGAGGCTTCTCTAAGTTTCCGGTGGAGTGTTGAAGAAGACGAAGGCGGCGAACGGAACCGGATGGGGGATTTCTGTTTTTCGTTTCCCATTTCTATAATTATAATTTAATTATTTGTACCTTTAATAATAGAGATTTTGATAACTGAATAAAATATAAAAAAGTAGGCTGGTGTGTAGTCATGTCAGAGTCAACTAACTGTTGACCGGATGAAAAGTTAGCGGTTTGACTATTAAAATGTTTTTGAAAATGTTTGGCTATTATTTTGTTTAGTACGAAAAGTTTGACTATTAAATTGTATTTACCCTAATTATTTATATTTTTATGTTAAGAAAGAATAGTATAAAAACTCACTAGAAAAAATTGTATTTACCCTAATTATTTGACTATTAAATTGTTTAAAATGCTATTAGTTAGTTGATTGTCAAGAAAGAGTAGTATAAAAACTCACTAGAATTTCTACACGACCTATAAAAATCAACCTAACAATCTTACATAAATGATTAAATGCTCTCCTTTTAGAAAAATATGCAACCACAATCAAAAAGCAATGAGAGTTGTTGATTCAAATCAGCTATATACTAACAACTCAGCTAAGAGTGGACCATCAAAACTTGAGAGCAAACAAAAAATTAGAGTTACCTCAAATATACTAATATACTCGATCAAAGTAATAAGACACAAAATTAGACACTCCTTATCTATAAGTTCCAATAGGTTGAATAAAGAATCGAGATCCTTCAATGATTCCTCGTCTTATGATATAAATAGGTTGTGATAGCTACAAAAATCATAAAGATAAAGATCCAATAGCCACCACTCTTTGTCGTACAACCAAAATTTTTATCCACTATATCGTTAATTTCAAGAGGCATAAGTTTCAACCAAAAATTCAATTTCTAATCCTCCTTGTGCAACTCCATTTATTGAACTCGATTCTATTCGCCATGGATTGATATCGAAGTTGAAATCTTCTACTTGCCCAGTTTAAATCCCCAACAATAAAATCGTAGTGCCAAGAGATACCAGAAGATTGATTTTCAAAGAACCTATGTACTGGGAAGTGAAAGGGGTGCAAACTATTGCACGATGTAAGAAATTTCGGAGGAAGGTAGAAAGAGATAAGAACAAAGATAAAAAAAACACAAAAATTTTTTTTAAATTGAAAAATACATACGATAGACTTAGTGGGCTTGCTAATCATGATGGAAAAGTCCTCAGATTTTCATAGTTTAACTTCGTGTATGTTTTTTACTAAAAAGATACAACAAATTTGTTTAGTGTAATTGGTTGTGATTGTAGTCTTTGTTAGAAGAGACTTGCGTTCAAATTTTGATATTGATATTTTTTATATGAAATAAATAATTAATTGTAAACACTAAATTGTCCTTCCTACTTTCACTCTCGTTGCAGAAAATTTGAAATGGAGAAAAGTACACAAAACTCTACCATATATTATTGGAGGATAACACCATGGCTAATCTCTGTTCTCTGGAGAGATCTCTCGTCTCTTCACTTTCCTTGGCAAGTGGTGACGTTTCATATTCCCCCTCCCCCCTATTTCTATGGCTGATTGATCCTCCGGTGCTCTTATCTGATCTTTTGGTAATCCATCCTCCAGGCTTTGCCTCTTCTGTGTAGGTCTGGAGGATCTTCTCTTTCGGCAACTCGATGGAGGACGACATCACGGGCCAGCTCTCTGAAATACACTTGACAGAAGATGAAGAGTCAGCTATCAGTATTGATGAATCTGTGACTACTGAAGGTGTTAAAGAAGCCATTAAGGAACTCGGTGTTGCAGGGAAAGTGTACTCAGGAAAATTCCCATATGAAAAAATCCTGAAAAGGATCCTCAAAGATGTGTGGAAGCTTAAGAAATATTTTGACATTCAAATCACAAGGAATAACATTCTCAGACTCCAACTATATTGTTTCGATGATAAGAACAAGGTCCTACATGGGGGTCCTTGGCATTTGGAACGTCAACTTATGGTTTTCAAAGAAATCCCTCCGGATTTAGATCTTGAAAAGATTGATTTCTCTACAGCAGACTTCTGGGTCAGAATAAGGAA